GGTGGCCCTCGGGTTTGAGAGAGAAAGAGAGAGAAAAAAGACACCGAGATGTACGAGCTGTGGTTGCAGCGAGACGGGCTGACTCAGTCTCAAGTCAAGAGCCATCGCGCGCGCATAGAAGCTAGAGATTTTGCGAGTTGAGAGAAAGAGCGAGAGAGACAACAAGAGAAAGCTGTTTTTAAAATGAGAGAGAGAAAAGAGAAAGCTGCTGTGTCCCCATCGTTGGTGACCATCACCGTGAGGAGATCCAGGACGAGAGAGAGAGCGACCGCAGAACAAGAAAGAAAAAGAGAGAGAGAGTAAGACCACAGCCATCAGCCACACAAACTCACTAGCAGCTCGAGGCTCAGCAGGATGCCATACGCCTTTGTCACGAGTCAGAGAGCCCGGAGGTAGCGTGTTTCTTTTCCTTCCGTTTTTCATGCTTCGTGCTACGGCTCGCGAGCGCCAGTAGGCCTCCTGGACGAGGTCCAGGAGTAGACAGAGGATAAAGAAAGAGAGAGAAAAGGCGAGTGCAAAAGAGAGAGAAAGAGGGCCAGGTCACGAGAAGTCACGCGTTCATGCTTGGAGTGCCGGATTTGGAGTGCTTGCGCGTTTCCACTTCAGGTGCGTAGGATAGAGGGGCATAGCCAAGGAAGGGAGTGAGGGAGAAAGGAAAAGAGAGAGAAAAAGGACTGGGACTAGGGACAAGAAGAGGACAAGGGTAAGGTTACCGGGAGACAGTGGAAGTACGAAAGAGAGAGAGAGAGTGTGAAGAAAAAATTTAATCGGATGAGAAGGAAAAGACAGTGGTAGAAAAGAGTATGATTGTGTGTTTGGCAGGAAAAGGGCAGGGGCGAGATATTGCGTGTGAAGGAGTGCACGAGTGTGCGTGTGTGCGTGCATGACGTAGCCAGGAGCACGTTAGAGCAGCGGCCCCTCCTGGGCGTCTATGGAAGCGGGAGGGAACGAACGAACGCACGAGCGCACGAGTGCACCAAGTGCACGAGCGTTCGTTTTGAGTTAGGGCGCATGCGTTTGGCTGCAGCAGACTAGCAGAGCAGAAGAAAGTATATGTATATCTGTAGCAAAGCCTTGGAGTAGGCTGTGACATCTCGTCTCGTCATTGACGAGTTGTCAAATAATCCAGCACAAAAGCAGAGGTTCTCTTTTGACTTTTTATCATGAATCATGCTGAATGCTGTGCAACTAAGTAAATTTCCTTTTTGATGGGAAAAATAATTTTCTTACTTAATACGCATTAATGAGGGTTACATTCAAACACTATGATAATTTATATTTTTATCATATTTATAACAACAAATTTTCAATACTAACTGCAACAATAAAACACAATTAAAACATTTTTCTTATGGCTTTCATGGATCAAATTTTTAACCACATCTTTTTCTTTTAATACACATAAGTAGATAATACATTTAATGCCCTACGACTTATGTTTGTACTCTTGAAGTAGGTTTATGTACCACTTCACATTTAGATGTAATTATTGAAGATAACAAAAAATCATGCAGTATATAAGAATGTTAGAAATAATTTTATCGACAAGAGTAAGTTAGTTAAAAAATCATGTAGTTCCATCCGTTAAATTAACAGACATGTTCAAAAGAACATCTTTCAGTTGCTTGAAGCACTGAAGCATTTGTTCCTTCACTAAACTCTTTTTGTCACTGTCTTCTACAAATACGTTTTTTAATTCTCTCAATTCTTTAGCAGACATTTGGAGAGCAACCTCAACATTCACCACAGCATCTACTGCATTATATGCAGCTGATGAAATATTCTCTAAAAAGATGTATCTCAATGAACATACTGTCAAAAGAGTTAAAATTAATGTTAGAAAGTGTAATTTCAATACATTGTGTTTTATTACTTAGTAAAATCAAGAATTTACCTTTTAGACGAAGTGATTTCAATGATTCCCGCTTTTCAAAGGTGTTAACTAGGAAAGTTACACTATTTAGAGGGTAATCTTACGAGATTATACTTATCACATAAGGGATTTAACTGATTAATAATCAAGACCATCTTTAAAATGATAGTCAGAAACCTCAAAGACCTGGATGATATGTACATCATATCAGAAGTAATTTAAGTATGGAGCAATCCTGTGTCTAACATGTGAATTCGTCCAAATTAAGTTATGCGGATGGGTCCAAATGTGAGATACAAGACCTACTACTATTCGGACTGCTTTTCATGGACCTCACAAGTTCTACAGGTTTTAGAGGCATGGAATTATCATTAAACACTTGTTGTCAACATGCTTTTAACAAAATTTGAAGATTTTCATAAATATTTCTGCGTAGCAACTGATCAATACTCAATACCATCTTAAAAATGATAAACAAAAGCCTTAAGGATCTAAATTACTGTACACGCCCATTAAAAGCAGTCCAAATGGTCGAATAGTTTGTACATCACATTCAGACCCGTCCAATACACTCAATTTTTTAGATGGATTTATTTTCATTAACCACAATTTTGCATATTACTTGAATCGATTCTGACATGACTTCATTGGCATCCAGGTCATAGAAGATTAAAGAAATCTATTTCAATCCTCTATTTAATTACTTCTTGAATTTTTTTCTGTTTTTTTTTTTTTTTTTTTTTTAATGATTTGTAAATATTAACAGAATAATTTAAATGACTCCATTTACATGGTAAATTCTTGATTTTGCAATTTTATAAAGTGAAATATGTTTAATTTACACTTTTTAACTCCAATTTCTACACATTTGATGTTACAGTGACATAATGAATTATACGTATTTTTTTCCAACGTACCTTTTTTTCTTGGCTTACTACCATTATCAGAAGTTGTGTCGCTGGTTGACGCTGGAATCTGACTTATCAATGGTATTGATAAATTAACTGAATTATCATCCAATGCTGGTCTGTGATTCGTTGTTGACTGTGTAAGAAATGCAGAAGTTTCAATGTTCACGTTAGGAGTCTTCTGAATGCACTTAGAATGAATAAGTCCCTCAATGTCGTCCATGGCTAATCATGCAATAGAGAAGTGCAAGAAACGGTTTTGGTAAAATTAATCAAGCCTTATGCACATATGTATACATACATAACAAAAAAAATGTATTCAAACCAGCATGTGCGTGGGCGTTATAGGAGAGAAATTCAATATTATCTAGCTCCCCATCACCCATTGAAGGTATAATGACGTTGTTTGAACCCTTGAGTCCGTGAAGTTTTTTTTCTGCTAACATCTGCGTTACCGCAGAAGATTGTGCATTTGTAATGTCACAAAACTGGGTTAGTGTTACAGCGACAAAAGCATTCGATGAAAGCGCATGCAAGCTTTCAAGGTCAGGAGAAAATAGGACTTGATGCCGTCACATTTTTTGTTGATTGTGTTTTTAATCTGGAACATCTAATACGATCTTTCAATGACTGAAAAAAAATAGTTTGTCAGAACGTTTGTACTGTTGAATTAGTGCCTTAAAATAGTCAACGTACCCTTTGCCACTCATCTACGGATCTTGTCAGAGGACCCAAACTGTTCAGCATTTGACTGACAGACTGCCATTCCACCATCAGATTAGTATTTATTATGTGCGGAGTCATCATTGCCACTTTTTAACATTGACTTCATGGTTTGGCTTGATTGTCCAGCTGACCACACCTTGGTCATTTGCAGCTCTATTGTTATAAAAAACTTGTGTTTACTTTGTTCACAACATATTATTATCAGTTGTTCTGTACATTACCATTAGTTACAGAATAACTTCTGTTCAGCTTGCTGTCATAAAAAGACACATTGTACAGTATTTTGTCTGGGATTAAAAACAATAACGTTTCTGAGATTTTTTCATATGACATGTATAAAGTTTTGCATTTTTATAGTTTTTAGTACCCGTATCCAGGCCTGTGGAGTGCGAACAGAACCTTGTTCGTTCAATTTCTTAGCAGCCTCAACCCACAGAGAATATCCAATGTCACTCTTCCAGTCGTTCATCAATGGGTTTTTCTGGATTGATTTCATCATCGTCAGTTTTTGTTTTTCGATCGGCACTGTCACTTTCCTAAAAATCAATTTTAAAGTTTTAAAATATTTGCGTCAAATAAATTTGTTGCACATGCCTAGTTGCCATCTTGTGCTTTTTGAGGTTACTCCTTTATCGAAGAACAAAGACTTTTTAAATAATAAAGACAATGCAATGAAATCTTGCACAACCAAGTACGTCAGGGTCGGTGACGGTGGTGTAACATGAAATAAACACAAAAACGAAATCGGTCCTCCCCCATACACAGGGATGGACGTGTCACATACGTCATGTTATAAATTCATTTACGACACATTTTTTATTTACGACGTGTCATAAAATCCATTTATGACACTTGGTGCATTTACGGCACGCATTGAGTTGCTGTCGCAAAGAAAATGTACTGAGAGTCAGTACTAGTACATAACTAAAAGAAATTTAAGATGTCCTCTTTCTGAGGTGTGTGATATTTTTTGATATTTCGTGATAATTCAACGAATATATTTATACTATCACCATAACGCTGACGTCGACTTTTGTTTCACCGTTTCACGCCAAGTATCTGTAAATAGATATGTACGAATATGTACATCAGCGATAGTTAACAGCTGGGCTGGTGGTGGCACTGATAAAGAAGCGCTCTGAAGGTTGCGGTTGGCAGCAAACTTTTGACCATCGCGGCCAACTTTGAGCATGTGATTGACTTTTAGAGATGGGGTAACAGTCGAGATTACGATTGGGATACGTATAGGAGTAAATCGAAGACAACAATAGTCGTGCAACCTGAAGCAAATATTTGATTAACCTCATAATTTCATAAATTGTTTGCTACAGATTAGTTCAAAAACAATTTAAATCTACATACTATGGGGAACGTTTTAGGCGATGCAGCCCACATTGTAATTGATCGTTATGAAGTTATCAGGCTTAGGAGAATTGAGATGGTTAGGAAACAACTATTGAGAGACGTTTCCGATCCTTTTACCCTGCATAAAGATGTCTTTTTCCAACATTACAGGTATGCACATGTGCTTGTATGTTTAGGAAAAAGTATATAAAGCATGTTACTTATTGTTTCTTAATTAAGATCTTTATGACTGTAAATGTCAACAAATTGATTGCAATGTTTGACGCTCCCTGTACATAAACCATCGATTTGCTCCCCTACGTCGTTACTTGTATGTTAAAATTTTGGTTGGTGATACATAGTTTTTAAAACGCAAATCTTTTTGGAATTACATAAGTTCCTTTGCATTAATTTTTTGTCTACTTTTTCCGTCTTTGGGTATGGAAAATCTCGGATTTAAAATAAAAGAGTCGACACCTCTCGTAAGTCTGGTGCAAAAAAAAAAAATTTGAGCCTCATTTTTTCATAATTTTGCTCAGTGACCTATGCTGTGAAATTGTATGTAAAGGTTCGTAAACATTTTATTTATGTGTAAATTTAACACATTTATCAATACTCATCTTTGGGTAATTAGCCTCCTTAATAGGAGATTCCCTAGTGATGCTTAAAGGCTGTATAAAACAGTCCATAGTTGTAGCTTCTGTGTAAGTTATAATTGTAATAGTTACCATGTAAATGATTATGATAAATCTGTTTTTCTAGAATAAATAACGGCAGAGCTTTCAATCTCTTTCAATTGTTTTTGCCACATTTGCCAGAGCACCCGGAAGGAGTTCCTCCTCATCTACAGGTACTAAGCTGCATTAGATTTTTTGCAGAAGGCCAATACCAAAAAGGATGTGGTAGAGATTTATACCACCCAATGGCTCAACCAACAGTCAGCAAGTACTTGCACATTGTATGCCCTACAATAATTCGTGCTCTAGGACACTTAGCAGAATTCCCTAATACTGCTGAAGAACGTCGAAGAATTTTTCAGAGGTTAGGATGGAATCACATATCTTTTCAGTTGTAGTTTTCATATTAGATTAACAATAGGATGAATTAAGTTTCGACATTATCAGAAACGGATATTTTATCACAAATTTCCCGAGATGTTTATCGTAAAGATCAAGCTTATTTGTCTATGCTGCATAAGAAACGCCAGTCTGATAATGATCCGTTTCACGTGGCACAACGTTATTTATGAAATCACTTCTAAAATTTGTTTTACTGAATATTAAGATCTAAAAAGGTATGTACGGCTATTAAAGAAAAATAATGTAGTATAAATGTTTATGTTTTCAAAAGTTCGTAAGGCCATTGTTATTGTAGATGAAAGTTTTGACTTGCAGGTTACAATTACTTCTAAAAGAACAATTAAAAAGTGTTACATACGAGCTGTGAATAATAATGTTTTGATTATCGTACTTTTTCATACTTTCTGTAACCATATGCCAAGAATAAATACGCACCGTAACATCCCCGTGAAATATGCACCCTAACCTTCAATTATTGCAGCTTTCAAGAAATTATTGGATTTCTGGGGGTCCTCGGTGCTATTGACTGTAATCTTATTGATAAACATACGCCAGCCAATCATGAAGAGGCTTATGTAAATTATAAGAGTAAACACTCCCTTAACGTGCAAATGGTACTCATACCCTGTTACTTATATAATGTTACGTACCAGTTTCGGTTATGTTCTGTTCAGTTATTTTATAACAGTGATACTATTATCTCATTAGATATGCGATACCAACTACAGAATAAGAGCCCTTCGAATTTGCAGTGGATCTACAAATGATCGTTTCATCTGGAAATGGAGTCAAGCACGCAATGAGATGGACGAGCTACGAGCGAGTAATGATGTTATAGAACAAGAGGGATCTTTTTTTTGATAGGTAACAATTACAAAACATATCAACGCATCATTTGCATGGAAAAAATTGTTTGTTCGAGTGATGTTAGACTCTTGCAACACTCGAGAAGCAACATTTGGCTAAGAATATCACGCAAAGTTACAGTATAATGTTGTCCGCAAGAAGAACAACGAGCCAGCACATTTTGAGCGTTAAATATTTTTAATATTGGGATTCCAAAAGGTCACGTGACTCTTGCGACATATATAGTTACTTGGGGGAAAAGTAAGACAGGCCTTACTGCTACCATTTTACTTTTATTTTTTTGACACGTTCAACGATTGTAATACGATCAAAGCCTTTCAATAACATAACTTTGAGGAGATTACAATACCTAAGCTATTTTTTTCCAACTTGATTAGTCTTTTACAGCTGAAAACTTTCCTTTGAAACAGTACAAACGCACATTTAACCTTACCAAAATTCTGCTTGTTTTTCTATATACAGCATTTCTAATCATATGTAACATTTTTATATTCCTGTATTTTTTCAGGGGACGGTGGTTACACTGTTTCTCCAGTCCTCTTAACCCCTTATCCACGAACAATACCTGATACGGAGGAGATCCGTTTTGACACCTCCTTCAAAGCTGCAAGAAGTTATATTGAACGGACGTTTGGTATTTTAAAAAATAAATGGCGATGTATTCTAGGTCACAAAACATTACACTACTTTATAGTTACCTCGGCTGAAATTTTAACAGCGTCAGTTTTGCTGCACAATTACTTGGAAGAGAACGAGTAAGTAACCGCATAATTTAATACATTGTTCATTGCATTGTATTGACAATTCGTGAAAAGTTGATTCATTTGACACACTCAATCGATGAATGCTTATCGGACCTGTCATGACAACCTACATAAATAAGAAACTTTTATTACAGAATCATCCCACCTGAACATGTTGAAGATGACGGTCCCGTAGCAAATAATGCACCTGATCATGAAGGTGATGTTCTTGCAGATAACTATGCAGAAAGTGTTGCCACTCGTCGAGATTTGACTCAGTTGTATTTTTAAATCTCGCTCCAGTTTAAAGAGCATAGGGTGATATTTTATGAAAAACAATAAATGGAAGAAATATGTGAATAATATAAATGTAGTTTTAGTTCAAATACCATCCACAACAAATATCCAAAGCAATTATATTATAAAGTTTTTTGATTGAAAGATGTACGGTATTTTGTATGACTCAGTGAAACTAAATTTTTGAAAAAATTTATCTGCTTCTGATGTGTGTAGCTAAGCTGCTTGTAGAATTAGAGTGTCAAACTTAGATTAAATTAAAGCTATGATTCAACCATATCGATCAAAGAAAATTTTGTTCCAGTTAGTGCTTCCCTTCAAAAGTTACAGCTGTTTCAGCAGTAGCGATAAAAATAGCTGAAAATGAGATTTCATAGATTATTGATTAGAATAATAAACAAATTCCCTGTCATTTCTGATTAGTGGCACCAAATTCCACAAATTTTTTTTTGTTAACGGAACATTGTTTTAGTAGTCATTTGAGCCAATTTTGGACCACCTCAAATAGTGTACTCCTTCGCTACTCGTGTTAGAAAAATTTTACGATTTGCTCAATTTGTTTGGAATACAATATTTACAATTTCAAGTTTTAAAGAGTTGGCCACGTTAATTAACAAATTAATATGTCGCCCGCAATTTAAAAGTAACAAAATTTGATTTCAAAGTTAAAATGTCTCTTAATTTGAAAAAAAAACAGTTTTAACATTCTGCGATATAAGAGAGGACATCCCATCTCTATGCTAATAAACTAATTTTGTATCCCGTCACTTATGTTTGCCATTTTGGCCAGTGGTGGCATTGATGCTGATGCTGTGCAAGTGGCGCTGTTTCAGATTACTACACATAGCGAATACGTTAGCATTGTGCTATTATGTTATATTGTGTTATTATACCATTTATCATAAATAATGAAAGCAGCCAGTAAGCACCCCTGGATATGTGATGATATGCGCTTGCATTATTATTTTATTAATCATAAGTAATCAAAGCAGCCTGCAAGCGCCCCGGGTTGTGTGGAGATAGTTGCCTGTGTCATTATTTTATTTATTATAAATAATCAAACCAGCCAGTAAGCGCCCCGGGTTGTGTGGGGATAGGTGCTTGCGTTATTATTCACAGGAGAAATAAGTCTGCCCCTACACTCCTGCTGTAGCTCTGCTCTGATTGGATTCGGAACTTTTCCAACGAAAAGTTCCGGTAGCGGTGGGGGTATGCGAAGATCCTTTTTGCCAACACTGGTTCGCAACAAAAAGCGACTTTCAATAAGTTCAGCAAGTTGTTGGTATTGTAACTGTGCTGGTATTTCTCTGTATACCAATTTTGTACGTATCAAGACAATTGCAATTGAAGAAATGGAAAACCAGAATTTGTTGGAGAAACGGTAAGCATACCAGTAGCAAATAATGTTTTACCAATTGTGATTAAATGGTCTGTGTACATAACTTATAAAGACTAAGTGCATCCCATGTGAATTTGCGCATTTGTATTCATAAGTCGTCAGTTTATGCATGTCCCTTATCTCATCAATGGTAATAATATTTTTTTTATTTAGTTACTCAGTGACCCAATGGCAACTGGATACGTTACTAGGGCTCATGGAGACACACACTAATTTGCCTTTAGGGCAGTTCAAGGGTGATTCTGACCCAAAAGCCACCAAGAAAAGGCTGTGGGAAGAAATGACGCAGTTCTTAAATTATGAGGAAGATTGTAAAGACGCTGCTCTTGGCAACTGGTAACAACAATATTTATTATACCTACTTACCTATCCGGTCGGAACTTGAGCAATAGACCGAGTTTTCCAGGATAGGTCATTCCAAACTGTCTTACGACTCTACTTATATAACTAAAAAAAAATTACATCTACTAGTATAATTTGATTTTTACATGAATCGTTTACTTGCATTTTTAGCTGTGGACTACTTTGAAGCGTGACACTAAATCAGAAAATGCCAAGCTACATGCATTCAAACGAAAAACAGGGAATCCTGCTGGAGAATCGCCTGTAATGGACCCCGTTTATGAGAGGATAATGCAAATTATCGGTGCAAGTCACGGTAATGGTTTGAGCTTAACCCCAGAGTTGGGACTTAGACGATTCTAATGGAATTGTATTAATAATACGAAATTCGCTAACTAATATAATATAGTAACTATTAAATATGATTGGCACCATAACAATTCCTTTTTTATTAAGTTGGGATTCAAACCTGCTTATTAAATTTATGTCAATTGATTCACTGTTTTTTTTTTCTATTTTATGAATAATTACGTCACATCCGACATAGAATTTTTTTTTACTTTAATAATTATATTTAAATATACTTTTGAACTCATATTGTGTTTTATTGTTGCAGTTTGTATTGAAAATTTGTGGTTGTAAATATGATAAAAATATAAATCATCGCAGTGTTTAAATGTAACCCTCATTAATGCGTATTAAGTAAGAAAATTATTTTTCCCATCAAAAAGGAAATTTACTTAGTTGCACAGCATTAAGCATGATTCATGATAAAAAGTCGAAAGAGAACCTCTGCTTTTGTGCTGGATTATTTGACAACTCGTCAGTGACGAGACGAGACGTCACAGCCAACTCTAAGGCTTTGCTTTAGATATACATATACTTTCTTCTGCTCTGCTTGTCTGCTGCAGCCAAACGCATGCGCGCTAACTCAAAACGAACGCTCGTGCACTTGGTGCACTCGTGCGCTCATGCATTTGTTCGTTCCCTCCCGTTTCAATAGACGCCCTGGTCTCAGGACCTCGAACGTGCGTTCGTGATTTGCGGGGTGAGGCAGAGCCACTGTAGCGCCATCAAGGATTTATTTGTAGAGCAGTGTGGTTAGCTGTAATAAAAAATTTTCTTAACTTGACGTGATAACATTTCCCATATTTTTTTCTCTTGGTAGAATGAGAGAAAGTCCCGTAAAAACTTTCCTTTTCAGGAGCAGAATCCAGGAGGACTAGGGATCTGGAGGACGTACGAGATGAGGTGTTCACTTTTTACGTACCCCCCTCCCTTTCTTTTCAGATACGAAGGCAGTGTGACACAACACACAAACTGGATACTTATAGTGCTTAGAGATTCTTCTACAAACTACAGCATAATAGTTTATGATGTTAGCAAGTATGAGTCCGACCATTGCAACGCATTTTGCACCTATACGATATCATATAGACAATGCCCCCCATATTAAATCTGTTTATAGAGTCTTTTTCCAATCTAACGATTTAAGACACAGATTCTCAAAATCTGTGCAAATCGCACGTATATTATATTTGGACAAAACTTTGCGAAGAGTTATCTCCATAGGCTAAAAGTAAAGAGTAACAAGAAACACATTTCCATCCACAGTTGTAAGATTATAGAAACTAGAATAAACTCTTGCATCGCACTCATAATGACTTAGAATGCGACGTTCCAGGGAATAAGAAAACATTCTTTGCTTATTGATAGACTTGCCCAATACTAACAAACGATTTCATAGAAAATAAATAATTGCCAGTAATAATTTGAGTCAAACTCTTTTAATCTCAAATGTAAAGATAAAATGACAGCTGAGAAAACTACAAAACATTTACTTTCTTAGCATTTTTTTTTATTCTAAAATTTGAAACCAGTGCTTAATTAAGTAACAAAATTCTAACATTATTATTTTCAAATTAAGGGGGAGGTAAATAAAATTGTTAAGACTTCTGAAAAAACGAGTAAGATACAATATGTATTACAAATTTTAATTACTGTTAAGAATACTTTAATAAATCAATTAATTTTGAGATTAGTACAGAAATAAGTACACAAATCTATTGTATCAAAAATTTTTGCCTAAGCTCAATGATTTGTAAAGTGTAAAAATCATAACAAGTGAATTTTGACGATAAAAAAAAGATATTACGATATAAGCAATCCTAGCAATGTGGAGGGGATTAGAAGATACTAAAGTAAATGTTAGAGAACGTGGAATAAAGAGGAAGGTTCTTGGAAAGCACAAAATTTGCTTTTTAGCCACACTTGATTTTTTTTGTCGTAAAAAACACATATATGATAGGACGGCATTGTCCTCTTGCGCACATTACGTGCTAACCCATCATCAGCATGAATGCTTTGAGCTCAATATATGTACTTACTATTTTGAATAAATATACAGATAGCCAATTAAGATTCACACACAAATTAAACAACACATTATAAAATCATTATCTCATTTTTAACCATAAGTTCTGTGAATAGTTTTAAAATATAATCTCAAAAAAATACTTTAATTTGTACATGCAATACTTGTTTAATTTTAAGTTATAAGGCTGCTTCTTATTAATTTGCATTCAGAATAATTATTTAATACATTTTAGTGAAAAAAAGTTATTTTGGTTCGAAATTCTTTAAATTGTGAGAAATCTCACGTATTATCATCAAAACGGAAGACCAAAAAAGAGATCTTCATGCTCAACAAATGAAACTATAATTTGTCAGTATGATATAGAAGTTGCGGAAAAACCAAAAAATTATAAATTAAAATTAAAAATGTGGACTAAATATACATTCCTAAATATTAATATTAATGTTAATGCTAGATTTTTTTGCTAATCCATCAGTGCTCCATGTCAAAGTGGCATCTATCGATGGATGTGTGTTTGCGGCAAGAAAGTGAAGTGCAACGAAACTATTTGTCTTTTCTTTTGTTTCTGTTTATTCTCTTAGCCAGTTTCATTATACGTAAGACTTCCTTATTAAAATCTTCTTGTGCATACACTAGTCTGAGTTACTTGATGCATAAATTTTATTTTATTATTTTTTTCTTTTTTTTTTTTGTAAAACACATATGTATACCAATTGCTGAGAAATGCTTTAGTAGAAAAGCTACAATAATCAACTTTGAATACAGTTTAGTGCAACATAAGGTTTAGTAAATTAACTGTTATTATAAAATCAGTATATGCATATTTACTTGCCCAGAGTGCAATTTGTGCCCTTAGTACCAGAATGCAAACTGCAC